ATCGAACATATCCCATTCTACAAGAACTTTGCGCAAAAAATCTTCAATTCGATCTCCTGTATGCAGTATTACAAATCAAAAGTTAAAAAAATTAGTTAATTGATTAGTCGACAACTAATTGATTGAATTTTTAGATAAAACTAATCGATTGATCAATTAGTTGCAACTAATCGATCAATAGATTAGTTTTATCTAAAAAATTCAATCAATTAGTTCAATGAATCGATTAATAATTTGCAATACTACCTGTATGTGGATAGGGAAAATGCTCAATTGTAATTAAGGATTTGTACATAGTAAAGTTTTCAGAAAGCCAATGGGCTGTTATACCGATATATGGAACATGGTTTTGTGTCCATAAATCAGTAGTAATGCAGGCGGATGCCATTGTTTGACGTATCATTTCTTTTAGTATTGCGCATGTATGAAATACTGATTCTTTCATCATATTTTTAATTGTGTTAGTGCAAGGGATCTCAAACCGTTGATTAATCTCATAACAAAAATCTCGAAATCGATCATAGTTGATACAATTTAATGGCATCATTTCTTCAACAATCCAAGCAACAAGCCGATAAGAAATACGATTTTGTTGTTTTTCAGGAAGGGGCAAAGTGTTTTCTATTTGTTTTTGTATGATTGTTTCGATTGTTGGTTGAGTTACTGATGTAGGATTTACAGTTGTTGTAGAGGATGCATCCCATTTTTGGGTTTTAAAAATTCGATGCTCAGTACGTAAATGTGCAGCTATATTAGTTGTTGATGTTTTTGGCTGAAACACTTTTTTACACCGTTCACTAGTACCATCTTCATTATCTATACGAACTGTACAGTATTTGACTCTAGTTAATTTATCACGACGAGTATATTTCCATATCCAACTAGGACCGGATGACTTGTTTCCTTTTTTAAGTATTACATTGGTTTTGGCTTTTTTTTTTGAGGTTTCAGTTGGAGATGTTGGGGAAAAATAAGAGGTAATAGGTAAAAAATTAACGGTATTTCCCTCTTCATTATCAGTATGATCATCGGTTTCATCATAATTATCATTTTCATCACTAAAAACATTATAATTGTCATCAAAGTTATGTTCAAAGTTATTTATTCCTTCATATTCAAATGACATATTATTTTCATCATTAATTTCAAACAATTGATCAGACATTTTTTTTTGTTAGGGGTAGACTATATCAAAGGTTTGTAATTATATATATTAGGCTTATAATATATATATAACGGCAAGAGTATTGATGGTATATTTATATCCTTTTTTTTTTTTTTTTTTAATTTTATTCGAATTATTTAACTGCACATTATGTTATACTGAGAGTTCGGGATGCAGAATTCTTGATCATATTTATTTTTTTTTATCTGAGAAATCATTGTTTTAGTATTTTCTTGGGCGTATTCAAGATTTCTCATGCCCCAAATTTTATTAATACTGTATTCAGATAGTTGTTTGCACTTGAGTAACAGTTTAAGTGTTTGGCATAAGTGGGAAGATCAACATAAGGCATTTATTTATTATTGAAAAATTAGCAATGCTAGAAGATGCGGATAGAATATACAATATTAGATATTGTTATCTTAACGGAATTGGAATTAAAAAAGATAGATTTTATATCAAAATTCAGCAGCTAATAGAGACTTTTTTAAAACAGAATGATTGTTATAATTGTAACTAGTCATTGACATGAGGATATTGCATTTGAATATGTTTTTTTTTTTTTTTATTAAACTTATAATTTTTATTTTATTCATTGAACTATTACTTTTGGAGGAAATTGTGCATGTCTTGTGAAATTTAATGAGGTTTCTGTAGACTACTCAAGAAACGTGAGCCAGTTTGCAATGATAATTTAATTTTTTTTAACTACCTAAATTCACAAGAATTATCAATTTGGTGAATAGAAAAATTTCACAGGTGATATATAATTTATATTAAGAACTTTATTCCAAATCCTTGGTATTCGTTCAATATTACTATTAGGTAGTTAAATATATATAATTTATATTGCGAACTTTATTCCAAATTCTTGGCGTTTGTTCAATATAACTGTTTATATATCCTTTTTTAGATTAATATATGTATATTAATGTTAAGGTACCTACTAGAAATGGGTACTTGCAGGAATCTACATACAATTAGATTAAATTTGGTTTTTTTTATATATATACCGTTATAGAGCTTCCGGAACAATTGCTTAAATTTAAAAATCAATGATCAATTTGATTTACTATTTACATTTAAGATAAAACAAAATTTGATCAAGAATTATAGCAAATCATATTATGATATTACGCAACAAAAA